CTTTGCTAAACTTCACGGGAGTTCAACTCTCGTGAAGTTCCGTACTCCTTTTCACAAAAACCGACCTGGTTTTAGTGCCAAGGCTGAAACCAGATCGGTTTTTGCAAATAACTTCAAAATAGGTCTTGTTTGGAATTAAATGCAGAAAGAGGTTGGTTTTGAAAATTTGTCCATAAGACTAAAAAAAAGTAAAAAGCTTCTCCTTAATTAAAAATCTCTCCACAAAATGTGAAATTTCTCGTAGCAACGCTTACGTTTGATGAAGAGCCCGTCTAAAATTCTTCAAATATCTATCCTGGGCATCAATCATTTTGCCAGGAGTCGAGGCTTTCAATCCCAAATCCTCCACCGAGCTTCATTAGGTATTTTTTTTTTTTACTGCTTCTCAAATTCCCAACTTGATCCTGTCCTGCTTCCCATATGTCAAGTTCTTGCATGGGTTTAACTTTGGTAGTGATTTTAATCTGAAAACAGTACTGGGTTCTCTTGAAATATCAAATATCTGCCTATAATTCTAACCTGGGTTTGTTTCAGTGAACAAATTTTGGGGCTAAATCTTGGGATTCGTATGGAGAACCTTCCTGATTCACTAATTACAGAGATTTTAAAGCGAATCGATAAAACATCAGATAGAAATGCATTGTCCACGGTTTCGCGCCGCCTATGCAGCGTTGAAGCTGAGCAGAGAGACTTCTTGAGGGTTGGTTGTGGATTGCATCCTGCAACTGATGCATTAACTTCTCTATGCCTTCGATTTCAAAACTTAACAAGAGTAGAGATAGTTTACTCTGGTTGGATGTCGAACATGGGAAAGCAACTAAACAATCAGGGCCTTATTGTGCTCTCTTCACACTGCCCTAAGCTTGTTGATCTCACGTTGAGCTTTTGTTCCTTCATCGGTGATATCGGTCTTGGCCATTTAGCTCTTTGTGAAGGCCTTGCATCTCTTAAACTGAACTTCCTACCGGGAATTAGCTCAAACGGGCTTCTCTCCGTCGTTACTGGTTGCAAGAAAATTTTGAGTCTACATCTAAATCGATGCATGAAGGTTAGCAGTGTAGAGTGGCTAGAGTACATCGGAAATCATGGAAACCTAGAATCTCTCTCTATAAAGAACTGTAGAGGTCTCGGGCAGGACGATCTTGTAATGTTGGGGCCTGGATGGCAAAAATTGAAGCGTTTGGAGTTTGAGTTAGATGCAAATTATCGGTATTGGAAGGTTTATAGTGAGTGGGCAGTGAGTAAGTGGAAGAGTTTTGGGTTTTGTTGTGAAAATTTGATGGAGCTTATATTGGCAAATTGTAACTTAGATTCTATAAGACCGCTTTCTCATGTCTTAGGAATGTGTGGCGAACTGCAAAATCTCTCATTAGATGTGTGTATCGGGCTTGAAGATAGCCACATGATGGCATTATCGCAGAAATCTTTTAAACTTAGAAAGTTATCGTTGAATTTATCTCCGAGATTTATGTTTTCAATGGAGGAAACTTGTAGATTGACTGATAAGGGTCTAAAGGAATTAGCTCGTGGTTGTCCCATGCTCGAAGAATTTGAATTATATTTCACGGATTGCAAATTTCCATCCTTGAATTGTTTCACTCAAGATGGCATCCTCAAACTGGTTCAAGGTTGCCCGATTCGCATATTGACCCTAAATAGTGCTTGTTTCTTTAATGATACTGGGATGGATGCTCTATGTTCTGCCCATTTCTTAGAGGTGTTAGAGATTGTGAAATGTCAGGACGTTACTGATCAAGGGATTCAGAAAGTTTTGAGCTTTCCTTCATTGAAGAGACTGAAGATTTCGAAATGTTTGGGGGTGAGTGATGCTGGGCTTAAGCCACTTGTGGGAACAGGGAAGTTGGAATCTTTGATTGTTGAAGACTGTCTTTTGATTTCGGAGAATGGTGTACAAAATGCTGCAAGATATGTTTCATATAGGCAAGACCTATCATGGATGTACTGAATGATTTCCTCTGTTCATGTGCTCATTACTGATTGTTGCACATTCAAGTTTGAACACAATCACAAGTTCTTATTTTGAATCAAAATGTGCCTTGAGGGAAAGGAGAATGAAAAGGGAAATGCTACAACATCTGGGCCCTGTAGATAATGGTTGAATGTGGGAGAATTTGTTGATAAAATGTTCGGATTCAGCTTGGATATGAACCAGAAGCCATGTGAATCTTCAGCAATGTAAGTTTTTAACTCTTATGCTTGTATGTTTTATTAGGTGATCAGATTTTCTCTCTAGTTGTGAATAAGAAAATGTTGAAGCGTATATGTCTTAGTTTGTGTTGATGATAACTATCTGAATGAATGAAATCGTGAACATGGGATAAGTATTCATCGAAAGTTCGATTACATATATGTGCATCTATGTCAGATGAATGCGAGCGGCCCCATTGTCATCTATTTCTCTGGTTCTGTCTCTTTAATAGTTGAACCATAGTTGCTTGAATTTTGTTCAGTGTTACTGTGAGTTTTCCTTGATTTGCTGGCTGTTTGAATATTTGATTAATAGGTGTTGCCCAAAAGTAATATTTGATTATATAGATAACCCTATATTATTCCCGTAAATGTGTATAAATTTTCTTTGAAACTGATGGTGCAGGAATCATCATAAACTAAAAATGTCGTTTGGGTGATTTTTCACTTGAGCGAAGGAAGATCATTAAGAAAGTTATTATCATAAACCCTAAGCAGAATCCTATATAAGGTCATAGTTTAATTTTAATCTTGGACATCCCAATGACCTAAACTTTCACTTAACTGCTGAATTATGCCTGAATAGGGTAAAACTAAGCAAGACTTTATGAGCTGGGGCTTCTCTGTATGAAAAAAAACTCTTTGTTCTTGCTTGGCTTTTGTCTATAATTATTTAGGACTAACAAGATTTGTTCAAAGCGTAATTTAATCATCACATTTACATTGAATAGCATTCATAACCAAGTTTTCAAGTTCATTCGTAATAGGAAAATCAAAACCCCCAAGGACAAGAATAATTGCTTCCTTTACAATCAAAAGTTTTCCCGTATACTTGCAGTCTCCTCCATCAAACTTTGAGGGTCTGTTCGATTATTAACCAGAATATACGAGGGTATTTGATAATTAACCTAAACATAGGTCCATTATCTTTAATCTCAAGATTTGAAACCTCCCGCCACTCATTGATTCAAAAAAAAATTGTTTGTTGTCTTTCAATATTATTTCGACTTGAACTTGAACAAGAAATGAGCTCTTGAACAAGAAATGACCCAGTGCCTTCAGCAATCCTTAGAGCCTTTTTTGTGTTTTTTTTTTTAATATCCCAAGTCCTTTACATTTCCTTTCTTTTAAATAAATTGGATAACTTACAGTACAAATATGTCTTCAGTATATTTATACAGTGCTTGAACGATGACCAACCCCTAACATTTTGTTACAATGTCCTGAAGTTCATAATGTTGCTCACTGTTGGTATGAGATTATAACATACTTCACATTATTAAATGGACTTACTGTTTGATAAATATGTTTAGATTCTTTTTATAAAGTTGAAAAGGAACACCCAATTAAGGTTCACATTTAGGTCAATACCAAGATACTTAACCACAAACTGAATGTTAAAAAAACATTTCCCGTTTTTCTTTTTATTTGGGGCTAATTGCAAATTCATCTTCTATGGCATTGGATGTAGCCACTCGTGACCCCTAGACCATTTTATTTGCACTTGTACTTCCTGAGCCATAAATCATATTCCCAGTAGGTTGAGATGTCATGTGAGAATCATGTACAGTTAATTACATTTTCACACTCGATTTGGGCGTTAATTTAGTTTTTTTTTTTATTGATTTGTATGATATTAAAATCAAAATCAAAATCAAAATCAAAATCACTAGCTATGTCTGTCTTGACTCTTGAGTCACTAATCTCTTCTAGCCACTGGCTTTGCCTTTTGGCTATAACTCATCATCAATGGAGCTCAAGCTTTTGTCTCAGCCACCATTTTTGGGAGGTTGCCCAGCCTTGGAGCACCACCACCATTCTTGAGTTCATGGTTCCTGTTAATGTCTCGTGATCACCATGATTGAGAACCGTAGGTATAGGTTAACCCTTAGGTCATTAACCAATTTCAGAAACAAAAATTACCAAAAATACCAGTAATACTTTCCAAGGTCTCATGTATTCAGGGTTCCGTATCTGTATCAGATACGTAGGCAGTATTGATATCCACCATATCGCATATCAGCATATGTGTCATCTCATCAAACTTCTCGGTGTTCTATACCATGGTGAGAATGTAATCATCCCTTCGGAGTTTCAGATCTCGTTGCGGTTATTGCGTCTAACTTCTCGATTGACCCCTCTCTTTCCTCCTCCTCCTTTTTTTTACAGCAGACAATGTAATCATTATAACAGTAGTAGATATTGTCTTTTTACAGTAGCCGCTAACATCGTCTGTGGGGTCCGCTGAGAAAATCTTAAAGTTTAGGCAAGTAGCGTCGTACACTTATGTGAAACTGTGACCTCCTTTTTTTTAGGATTCGGATTCTCTCCACTACAAAAAATATAGTGGAAAGACCACTGCAATTTTGCAACCATTAATTTGTTTAGTGGGTGGTTGTGATTTGTGTTGAAATCTAAAAGACATTTTGTTAAAATCTAAAAGACAAAATGTATGTGGACATTACTTTGTATGTGGACTATTAACTTATTGTCTTTTCATTAGTCCAATGTCCTTTTATCTTCCATCATGTATCTATAAATTGTACCATGTATGGAAATAGATGTGATGAATAAAATTGTAATTTCTCTTCTTCTCTTGTCTCTTGTCTCTTGATTCATTTCTTTAATATATTACAACACGTTATCAGCACAACTAGCTCTAGCCGGTTCGTGATCATTGGTTCGTAGTAATAGATTTTTAGGTGTACATCTTCTGCAATGTAATAATACGTTCGGCTTTTATCTATTTACATAGTATCAAGTTTTCCGTCGAATGATTATGATTATGTCCAGTATGAATCTTGCCATCTCATTTATTTGAATTCTTCAAGCAAACTTGGGGAAATTACAATTTCTCTTCACTATTCTAGTACTTGGGGAGTCAAATTTTATCTTGTTTACTTATGAAGAAATACGTCTGACAAGCTTAAAAAAACGATTCTCAAGTGATAACATTCATTTTATTAATATCTCCTTTTGTATATATTAAACCTATATGTCAACATCCAACCTTCGGTGTACTAGCTAGTTTGACTAACCAGATAAACTTCAAAACAAACAATTTTGCATGCAGCTGCTAAACTTCAAAACAAACCTATATGTCACAAGTTTCTGGTTGAATACATCAAATAGAAAACATGCGTGATTAGAATACGAAGCACTTCTGTAAGCAAGCTGCATCCAACTCACTTAGTTGTGTTATCTGAGTTTCGACGCAAGAGTGCTTCCTTCTAAACTCCTGCAGTGGCAATGCTTGACAACAAGTTTATCTGGTCATGGAATAAGTGTGGACTGGTGTCCTGAAATGTTTCATTTATCAACCTTCTAAAAATCTTGCAGGGGTCAATTGACTATATTTTATAGATTTGCATTGTGTAGACATGTGCATACATTAACATAATAAGTTATCAAGTCAATTGACTATATTTTATAGATTTGCATTGTGTAGACATGTGCATACATTAACATAATAAGTTATCAACTAAAAATATAGGTAGAGTTTAACAAGATGTTCATAGATAACAAGATGCTCTTAGACATAGGACACGATTTAGTCAGCGTCTTACATACAAAAGCTCTGGAACTGCATTGTGATAGTCATTTATTTATGAATTAGAGCGTTATGGGAATGTTGGAGTGTCTGATACATGGAAAACTCTTGAACATGAATTTTTCTGTAAACTTGCTTGATGATTTTGGTGACCAGAAGTGATCATGTTATTTATCACTATCTATGCATGTTTTATTAGTCTATTTCGTTTTCCAGACTTGTTCTAGTTGCTTTTGTTAAGATAATTTGGAATTTTTCTAGACTTATTTTGCATGTTTTTGTAAGACAATTTCAAGTTCGTATGAGTTTGTTTAAATGATTATGCATTTGCCTTATTTTTGTTGTGCTTATATGAATACTTCATTTTTAAAATAGCACGACAACTCTCGCATACAACCCATGGACAAGGAGACTGTCTTGTGCTTGGTAGATAGTGCTACCACACATACTATCCCGAAAGATAGAAAAATTTTCCAAACTTTGACTGAAAAACAAGGAAGTGTAACCACCATTGCTAACGACAATGCGTTGATAGTAGGCTCCGGCAGAGCTTCACTAATACTTCATATGGGTACGGAATTAATTATCAATGATACACTATTATATCCAGAATCCAAACGTACCCTTCTTAGTTTTAAAGATATTCGGTCTAATGGTTTTCATATTGAAACCGAAAATGAGAATGGTGTTGAACATCTTCTCATGACTCAGTCAATTAGATGTCGGAAGGAGGTTGTAGAGAAGCTTCCATCTTAAATTTAATTGGGCATAATATGCCAAGCAGCAATGTCCCCTCATTGTTAGACTATATTTGTGAGTCTTGTGCAATGGTGTTGAACATCTTCTCATGACTCAGTCAATTAGATGTCGGAAGGAGGTTGTAGAGAAGCTTCCATCTTAAATTCAATTGAGCATAATATGCCAAGCAGCAATGTCCCCTCATCGTTAGACTATATTTGTGAGTCTTGTGCTAAAGGAAAACTTATAGTACGCTCTTCTCGTACTAAAGTGAATGTTGAATCTCTCATTTTCCTTCAAAGGATTCAAGGAGATATTTGTGGACCTATTCATACTGCGTCAGGACCATTTAGATACTTTATGGTCTTGATCGATGCATCTACTTGATGCACTCAAGTCAGCTTTGTTGGACCCTAAGGTCGCTAGGAAAGAACCCTAGAGGGGGGGTGAATAGGGTTTATGCTAATCTAATCCGATTTTATGCCAATTAAAACTAATTAACAAATTATTCTTGCAAGATAGATATACAATGTGATATGAGCAAGAATAAACAATATAACTAAGGTGATATATCCTAGAAAAAAGATATACTATATGGTATATGCAAGGATATATTTAAACTATCACAAGGGTGAAACAAACTAGTGGATAATATAAACAAGATGCAATGGGCTATAAGATGAACAGTTGTAAGTGTGCCAATGCAAACCAAACACGCTATATGTTCACGAGGTTCGGACCTTCCGTCCTACGTCCCCGCTCCCCACTCTCGAGGAGAATCCAAGGAGAATCCACTACACAACCCGATTTGGAAGCCAAAACTTCTCTACACACTCGGTTTTCTAGCTAACCGAAAACTCTACACACTCGGT